CTAACCACACTCCTAAAGCTACAACTCTTGAAAACTGACCTAACTACACACCTCGAACTACAACCTTTAAAACTAACCTAGCCACTCTCCCCAAAGTACAACCTTTACAACTAACTTATCGAACACCTTTGAAACAAGCCTCGATTTTCCTATTACCAACACCTTCAATTTCTCATCTCCTGCCATATTTGCACCCACCAGCGCAGTGATGCGATCTTTGCTTCGTTTTCCTCCACTACAAGCTTCGCCTTTGAAGGTGAGATACTTTGATGGAAGCGCCTTATAAAAAAGACCCATCTCGTCGACGATAAAGACGTCTCGTGGCTCAAAGCTCATCAAAATTTTCTTAAGCTGCCCCTGTTGCCAGTCGGTGCAAATAACCCTGTTGACTGCACCACTCTCACCTGAGATTGCTTTGAAGACTAGGCCATGGCGTGTTTTGAAGCGGCTGAGCCATCTGTCGCTTAGGACAAAGTTCTTATCACCCATTTGCATGGCGATCTCTCGAGCTTTCTGCTCGGGAATCGGTCCGCTTATGGACACTTCAACCACAGAAAAAGATCTTTTATAGCTGTTCATAAGGCGTCGTCTGCATCCATTTAGATGTAAAGGTCCCGTTCTTAACAGTGCCTTCAATCTTTTCTCTGTCTTTCCAGATCCGCCACAGCATCGATTTCGGGATGTATTTTTTCGCCCCTTCCATCTTGGGCAGGCCACTTCAATCGAGCTCCTGAAGAATTTGCAGCTTTTTTTTCAAGCGAGAGTGTATGGTGCGGCCGCTTCCTTTCCATCAGGCTGAAACAACACCATGATCCACCGCATTTCGCCGCACAAATAGGCCTAACGCACAGTTGGCTCCCACAGCCACAAATGAGAATGACTACTGGATTGGCTTATCTCGATCTTAAGGTGTTGCCATGGTTGTGAGACTACCTTTGGCATGAGCGATTCTATGCTGTGTTTAGAGTGTGTCGTTAAACCATAGGTGACCAATAAGCACTGTTTCGATTGACCGATGAATTTTACTGCACAACACAGAAATACAGCCATATGAGCCCGTTTAGTTCTGTTAATGAGGCATTTTCACTTAAGGGAGTTTCGCTTATTGGGAGTCCACTGTAGTACCATCAGATTTAAAAAGTTTTGTTCCCCATTAACCAAATCCTAGTTTTCTCCACATTTACGACTCCAGACACATAGCCGAATTGCTTAGTCTTCTTGAACATTACTTTTGTCGGAATAAAAATACACTATGTCCTCAGTTTATCATTTACAAATTTCAGCTTATACAATTGAAACATCAATCATTCAAGCATGCTGACCATGCAATACTATATGTAGTGAGAGAACTGCTCTTATGGAAATTTGTAGGGTGGTTTTACTGCACGAGATATGCCAGTAAGCTACTAATGCTTGACCTTGGTAATTAATGTGTTTTACATACTTTTGCAGTTCTCAATTCATCTCATGACACCATCTTTATGGGGGTGTTTATAAACTTAATAAAACTATGAAGATGCATTTTCTACATTGAGGAATTGCAGGAATGGAATTAATCTTCCTGGAGTGGGAATGGGCCACGTTTTTTTCATTCCAGGGAATTAAATGGAATGGAATTGTAGCAAGTCCTGATTCCCCTGAATGGAATTGGAATAGAATGGAGGTGCCCATTTTGTAATACTAATTAGCAGTGATGGGGATGCCTTGCAACATTTTGAAGCAGCAATTGCAGCAGGCAAAATCTGCTTTTGAATCAGCCATCTCTGTTTGGAACATGCATGGCCTTTTCATGATACACACAGAGGAATAAAATTTAGCTTTAATTTAGTTTAATGTTCCCTCAGTAAATGAGCCCTTATGCAGAAGCAGCAAACCTAATAAATAAGCAAAAAACAAACAAAAGCAGGATCATATAAAGAAGTGGTGACATAAAACAGTAAAGGATATTGCACCAACTAAGCTACCTGTAACATGATGTCCTTGAAGCGCGCGCTCGCTCACTCACATTGGCGTGTGCACAGGGAGGCAAGGGGGGGATGCAAAGCCAGCCCCATACATTGATTGACATAATACAAAATGGGGCGAGTGGGGTGGGGGGCAAAGTCAGTCCAATGCATTGACATGATAGGGAGGGGGGCATGCAGCTAACCTTTGCTCCCCCCCTCCCTGAAGGGGAACCCTGAGCACGCCTATGCACCCCCCCCCCTCCTCACATTCAAAGCTTTTTATAGTAAAACCTCCTTAATACGTACATATGCGCAGAGAGCGTGGCTAACTGCTCACTAAACGTAGTATGCGTTAAATACCAAGAACCAATTTGCATCTCTGGACGTATGCCATCGCCGCAAAAAAAGGAATAAATACAGGGCTACAGTAAATATTGCCCAAAGTGTTCACCACAAAGCCATTTCTTTATTTGCCAAATTTCAGAAAAAAAAATTGATAATTGAGCGGCCGATTCTGTGCTTTTGCAGCTGCGCAACTGTGTGAAAATGCAGCAGCGCAAGTGTACAAGATGGCGACTATCACGTAATACCTGCTCACACACCTGCTGTCAACATTACTTTCGTTTGCAAAACCACCTTGTGACATGCCAATGGTGCAAATCAGACAAAAAAGACCCTTTTGGAGCAGTATGGCGCAAAAATTTCTAGCTAGCGCAGGTTGGCACAATTGGCACAGGTTTCCCACCACTGTATTAGTGATGTATGAAGTAGTTTGCATCACTCTGTTTCCCTTTTTCAAAGACAAATAAAGCAAGAGATTAGTCACGCCCAAAGTTAAAATATTGTCGATAGCATGAAATCCCGAGAGAGAGAGAGCTCTCCTAAAATCAAGATAACATTGAGTGAAAATGTGAGGTGGGTCAACTTATGGCGTGCAGTAAAAAAAAAGTTTAAATATATATAGCAGCAAAAAAGGAACATTTATAAGCACTGAATTCAGCATACCTCGAAATTTGAGAGACTTGTAATGCAGCGGGCTGCAATATGTGACAGAAGGCTAGCGTAAGTAGCAATTTGTGCTTTCTCAGGGCTGCTAACAATGTCATCAACAGACGATTGCCAGCAAAGTTTGCAAATGTCAGCGATCATACTGGTACTCAATGTTACAGCACTTGCATGCATGCGTGATTCAAGCGCATGATCGGCTGTCTCGTACAGCGAGTACACACTTGCCAATATTAGTGCTTTTTCGTCCGAAACTATTTAACCGAGACGAAAGTGGCTTAAAGAGACCCTAAAACGGTGTTCCAAAATTTTGTCAGCGTTTAAGCTAGAACATCAACAAACCACTCCCACCACACATTAAGTAATACAGTGCGTACGAAGGCAGCAATAGGAATTGCTATCTACACTCTCCTCACCGATTCAATGCCTCCTCAACTCATGAAAAACCCCCAACATTGCTGGTGATCGCAGTGCACTCAATGGGTTGAGCTCCATCGAGTGCACTCATAAGTGCGACCACCAGAGACACTAGCAGAGTGGTTGATATCTACTCCAACAAGTGCCGCCACACTTATTTTAATCTCCTGTACAGTGACAGCCTGCAAAGCCATGTGAACAAACAAAAAGTATTCGCGGAAGTCACCCATAAATGTAAACTAGATTTCCTGAATAACTAGATTCGGTAAAATTAGATGAATTAGATTATTAGGACCTATCGACCGCATGCATTGAACTGTCACTAACTTGGAGGTACTTGGTTGCACACCAAGTGAATGTATATTCTTGGAAATAAAATGCGTGAAATATCTAGAAAATATGTAGCTAAACTCTCTATGCAAGTTTATACAAGAATTTCAGTGCACGAGTTGGCTTCACGGCACACCTTGACCGTAATGCAAGGAAGGCTGCCTAGCGATGAGACGCGAGTACTTTTTTTTTCTCTCCCGCGGTTTGCAGTCTGAAGTGCCATTTTAATGCAGCCGCGTGTTATACACAAGCAAATCTTTTAACCACAAAAGCGGTACTTCTGTGATCTAAAATGGGTGCCCAGAGCATGCGCTACAACGCTATGATGCCCTTTGCCCACTCCGCGACAACCTCGTATGACGACTGCAACCACGCTGTTGGCATTGTAGCAAGCAACTCCCATTGTTGCAAGCCACCACCGAAGCATCAACTAACCGTCGATAACAAGATTCACGACAAAATAGAGCTGCCACCTCACTGTCCACACAAAAAATAACAGTAGATCTACACTGACTTCTTACTACAATTACTTGAAATATGTGCGGATAACAAGCATGCAGAGCTAACTGCAACCGAAGCTTGAATCAGGGGTGCTACCATATTGCGCATATTATCACGCTCTTTTCTGGGAGACAAGCATTTTTTTCTAGTTTTCCAAAAACCTGACACGTGATGGCGATCAATGGCCTTTTGCAACAGCCATGGTGACCACAAATCCTGTCGTAGTCGCTCCAAAATTGTGTGCATGTGGTTGGGCCTTTACGTTTTGTATTTGGAGGAAGTGACCGTTGGGTGGCATGAGCAATTTCGAGACCTTCTTTGCTGTGTGCTTGTCAGGTGCAATGTCTCTACATTCACACCGTTCGTGAACCCCGCTATGGCGCACGGATAACTAAAAAAGACAATAGATGGCATGGGCCGTGCACAGACAGAAAGAAAAACGTAACTGCACGCGGCAGTGGCCGAAGAGGGGGAGGGTGCGAGCAGAGGTGGCTGAGTGGGGTCGGCATAATAAAAAGCGGTAAAAATCCAACGGGCAAGGAGGCGCCAGGTGTCTGTTTGCATAACTGCAGGAGATGAATGTAAAGGATGCGAAAAAATTTCATGACTGAAGTCGGGGGTGCGTTTAGTATGCAAGTGTGTTCATTACGTGAGTAAATAGAATACTGATACATACACTGATGCTTTACTGAGGTCTCCTAGCACACTCTTAGCATGCTTTCTAATTGATATAGTGTAATAGAGAAAGAGGTGATGCGGAAAGGCAGGGAGATTAACTGGCTACGGTGTAATAGTTCTTACCTCAATGAAGCAGATGATGATACCAGTCACTCCAACGTACACAATCTTCTCATTGAACTTTTCCAGAAGCACATCGATACAGTTCTAAAAAAGCAGCAAAACAAAATAAGAAACAAGGTTTAGTTACAGTACATCTAGGCTAAATGCAATGAAATGGTTAACAAATAACAGTGCATACTAGTGAAGCAATCTTAACGAAATTGCAGGCTGGTAATGACTAATGCCACGATAGTGACACCTCACCTTTCAGCTGACCAAGAGCAGCTAGAAAGCTGAGCATTCCAAGTAATCAGCCACTTTGGATGAGGAGCAATGACTTTCTATTAGAGCTCTGGTATCAAAAACTATTTTTCAAGCTTCTTGCAATACTTACACTCTAATTTCAACATATCCTATGGAGGCTTATATCTAGTAGGCTTTTTCTGTAAACCACAATTTCACTTAAATTCCTGCTACTGTAACGGCCAAACTTCAGCTGTGCTTTAGCAATGATAAGTTGGTGCAACCATGTACTTAGAGTAACTTCAAGTTATATTGACGTTCATGATCATAATCAAAATAAGCTCACTTCGGTACTCTATGCGAAACTAAATAACTGCAAGTAAACTAGTTTTCCTGAAAACTTTGAAGATTGATCGCAAGTTCCCAAATAATAGGTAAGTATGACTGCCTGGGTTGCTACTGACTTTCGAGTGAATTCACCAAACTACGGGTGAAAGGTCGCCAAAAGTCACCATTTTTCTTCAAATTTCGCCAAAAATATCACAACTCTACATGAGCGACATGTCTAGTAACAAAAAATTGGGGGACCCTTAAGCTTCCCCTTCAAGAGCTGATCTCAGAGGCCATAAAGAGTGACAATGCCTCACAGATGGCATTACATTATCTAGCATTCGCTGTTTGCTTGATCAACGCCCCTGGAAAGGCATGATTTGTTTTCTGCTAGATGGACATAGTTGTCCATTTTCAGAGCTGTTTGAAAGTTCCTGTGTGTTTTTAGTGGCGATGACTGAACTATCCTGGTCTTTTTAGACGTAGTTTGAGGCCTCCCAAATATGCCTACAAATCGCCGAATGAGCTCGTTTTCATCGTGACACCTGCCGAACAAAATGCTTTAATAGGGCCCTGAAACACTTTTTCAAGTAACCATGGAATGAGTTCACTAAAAGAGCTTATTGCCTCACGAATTCAACGCCGCAAAATATTTAAGAATTCGTCCAGTGCGAGTAAAGTTACAAAGGTTTGTTGCATGCTGCAGTTGTATTCTCTCTTCTCTCGTCCCGACGAAAGCGCTAGAAGCTAAGCAGGCAGGGGTGGCAGGGGCTAAGAAACTACATCCCTCGTGCCTCATGACTTTGAGCACTTTTTTTTTCTTTTTTTATCCAAATGCGCGGCTTTTTCAGTCTGATCACGCGTGCATACGTGGAGAAGTAGCGGCCTCCCGTGGCGATCTCTGTAACGAGCTTTTTCGCTCACGGACTATTTTTCGCTCACAACCAACGGAGCAGACGCCAACGGCAGAATTCCTGCGACACTAGCTCTGTAACGCTATCACGTTAAAATTGCTAATTGTGTATAGCCTCCTAAAGTACAGTACCCTCCTTAACCATTAAATTATACTGGTGTTTTTCAATGCCAGTCGCATCGCCCACTTTACCTCGGGTGGGTTTGGTGGAGTAGGAGTCATCACCTGCTTCACCATGGAACCACTGAAAAAAAGCACGCATACACCAGCAGCGTCCCCGAATGCTCGCGCCTCATAACAAAAGGTTGTAATGGTTTCAGTTGTATGAATACAGGACGAACCAGTCGCAACGACAAGAGAGGTTGCGTGCATAGCCTTATTGCAAACTTGGAGAATTTCATTGCAGTGGAATCATGTGTCCAATAATAAAACAACTTAATTACGAAACAACGAATATAAATTCGAAAGTGCTGCATTACCATCCCAATGCCCACACCATGCTTTCAAGGCGGACATGCATATGCTACAGTCACCTCAGCGCAGTTTCTGAAAGCTGTCCAAGAAGCCGACTTCTTGACAGGCCCAAAAAGTATGTTAACAATAAATTTAGACTTTAGTACATACTAAATAAGAGGGAACTACAACACTGAACAAGTCAACAAGCTATTCAGGACAAGTGAGGCTAGTTAAAACATGTTTCCTAATTGTCACCTACATATAGCCATTTCAGAATCAAAACTAAAGAAGCTTGAAATGTTTAAAGGACATAAAAAAAACTTAGTATAACACCACCGCCTCGCGGCATGGCATGTAAAACAGTCCGCTTACGTAAGTTTCGTAGGAGGTTGCTGGTAAATGCACCAGTGCGCCAGTGCGTCAAGGATTTAGGTGAACTCAGGAGATACGAACTATAGACAGGACAGACTTAATTGCGCAAAAAGTGTGCCTTTTCCCGGTGGGTCAAAAACTACAAACAAAATAGAAAAATATGTTGCCGATTCGTTTTAAAGACACTGAGTATAGAATGCATGACTCAGTCTAGACCTAAGTCGAAAATCGCCAAAAACTCTCCATGTCGCCATTCGTCATTTTCTGTTGCCACGGGCCTCTCAAATTTGCCAATTTGGCGAAAAGTAGCCACCAGTGGCAACCCTGATGACTACAGGCCATAATGTGCTTGCAAAAACGTATCCTACCTTGCTAGCATCCTGAAGATATGACAAAGCAGTCTTTTGAACAAGACAACCATGATGGCTAATACAGTTGAAAACTGGAGATGTTTTTAAAGTTAAATGCATAGTTGAACGACATCGCCAGTCTCTTTTCTGACAACACCATATTGATTGATTTGATTGATTTGTAGGGTTTAACGTCTCAAAACCACCATATGATTATGAGAGACGACGTAGTGGAAGGCTCCGGCAATTTCGACCACCTGGGGTTATTTAACGAGCATCCAAATCTGAGTACACCATATGAGTACAAATCTGAGTACACCATATGTACTGGTTTATATTACAGTGAAGCACATTGTGATGTGATAATTAGCATATAAGTAATCAGCTACCTGTTTTGGTTTCTCGATATTTCTCATTTACTACTTGAAATTATTTAAGAGTTTCTAAGAAAACCAAACCACCCTCGCTGCTACAAGCCCTATTATATTTATTCGAGTTTTACATATGAAAACCACGATATGATTATGAGACACTGCAGAGGGAAGCCCCTGAAATTTCGACCTTCAGCGGTTCTTCAAGGTGCACCTGAGAACACTGGCCTCTTGCATTTGAGCCTCTATTGAATTGTTGCTGCAGCCAGGAGCACACACAAGAAAAAAAGAAATGAAGTATCTAAAGTAGGCCAAAGCTAAGAGCATGAAAAATTCCACAGATCTGAAATGTTTTCTTTCACATCTGGACAATAGCTTGAAATCTTTAAACCAAAATGCAACATGGTCAAGCCATGTATACAGTGAACTCAAGCTCAACTCGTGTGATCCACATTGGACTAATGTTCATCTCTTCTTCAAGGAGTCGTGTGAACGACACATGTAAACTTAGTTGGCTTCGACACACGAAGGAGTGTCCACGAAAGCAGCAATGAAAATGGCATGTAACCCTATTATTAGTCTTACTTTTTGAAACCTTTAAAACTATTTCTTTATTCTTCCTTTTCCCTTGCATTGGTATGAAACATGCTGACAAAACCAGCAAAACAGCAGGGCAACAATGCCTATTGCACAACTTGCTCACGTTGCGGTCAGTTTTGTAATCGTGTGCTCGCTGCGCATGTAGTCACTACTTGTGTGCTCACTGAATTTTCATGGAGCGAGCACTCGAGTAGACATTTTTGTTGTTCATCCCACAGTCTACAGAAGTGTGGCATAGACCTTGAGCGTAGGAGTTCCCTTCAACGCATCCACTGAAGAGTATTTGATTGCTGCAGCTAGTCTTGGCCAAGCTACGTGCTTTATCGGGACATCCATAGATAGTACATGGCAGCAGCATTTTCCTTAAATTGTGGTTAGAGCAAGTTATGCCAGCCAGCTACGCCCATGAATCGTTACACTCCATCTCGTTTGCTCTGTTCGTCTCTGCATCTTCTTCTTCGATATTCTTTCAAAGAAGTGCACATCTAGGACTTACTGATGGCAATCAGATATAAGGAAACAACTCTCAAGGCACCACTAAACCAGTCAAGCATATCTCGGCGAAAACCTGAGTACCTACGTTGTCAAGGGTAATGCCAGGAAGTTCTTTATCTATGAATCGAACAGTAATGCACAAGTAGCATGTTATACCATCGTCTAATTCACTGAATTTTTTTTTATAGCAGTATTAGTGATTACATACCAAAGACCTACTGTACCTTATCAGGTTAGCACTAGAATTCCCATTGGTCGAGCAAACCGTTTTACATTTACCGTATTTACTCGCCTAATCCTCGCACTCGCATAATTCTTGCACCCCCCACATCGCTCAACAAAAATACGATTTCTTTTTTTTCTTCGTGTAATTAGCGCACCCCCGAAAACTGCTGCAATAATGTTGTCTGCTCTTTATAGCCACTGATGATGATAGCGCACGCCACCTCTTAAGCATCAAGAGTAGTATTGCACAGAGATTCAATCCAATCCAAGCCAAGCCGAAGTAGCTAGTGCGCGTTGCGGCATGTTTTGTATGTTGTGTCGATAATCTTGTCACATTATAGGGCGATACTGAAGCTGTACGGCTGCTTTCAAGTTGCAAGTGATAGATCATGCACTAAACAACAGCAGCAGGGCTGCCGGTAGGCCCTTCAGAGTCTACGAGTTTTGTGTTCACTACTGGTGACAGTAGCTTAAAGCCACCAAGGCGCGTTGGGCCTGCCGTGTGCCTAAAACTGGGATTGATGATAAACTTTATTTCTTCAGAAGGAAACTGCAGACGATTCTGTTAAATAGCCATCAGCCTAATACTGACATCCCACGCTTGTCTTTTGAGGGCTCCTGTTGAGCGACGAACGCTACCGCTACGCCCGACGCGTCCGCAAGCTTGCGTATGGTATTCCAATTCTCGACTTGTCTTGTGTTGAATCTCTGCTTTTATTGTTGAGGTAAGTTTTAATTAGTACTTCTTAAAGCTTGCTGTTAGTTGCTGGTGTGAGAATCCTGATTTGCGGCCACTTCGTTTTCTTTTTCGCTGTGTACGTTTTCGTAAAAAGTTTTCCCTGCGTAATTCTCGCACCCTCCAACTTTTCATCGGTTTTCCGGCAAAAAAAAGTCGGAGGATTATGCGAGTAAATGCGGTACCTTAAAGGAGCACTGACATCAAATTTCAAGATGGAAATGTGCCCATCATTCGATCGCTTGGTATGCATAGGTCTTCTTGGCCAAATCTGAATGGCATCGATCGCGTGGAAGTTATTTTAATTCGATGTCAAACAGCGTAAAAAAGCAAAGGAGAAAAACGAAAAATAGACTGCCCTGCGACATCGACACAAGTGCTACGTCTTCGGTGTGATACATGCCACAAATACCATCCTGAGTGACGATGCCCTAGTAGCGATGACGTATACGATCGGAGTGTTCTTATTGTGGCGCCGATTGGCACCGAAGTGCAGAAACGCACTCGCTCGTCTACGGCCGGGCTAGGGCCTGGCTAGCGCGCGCAGGTGCAGCTCGGCCATGGCTCGTCGCGTCTGATCTCCATCGTACCAGTTTGAATGATTTCTTGAAGTTATCAAGATAAAAACCACCTTTAAAAAAATGGCGAAAGAAAAGAGCATGATTAAACGTGTGCTTGTCGGTCAGCATGTCGGGGATCGTTGTGAGTTGCAGGTGAGCTGCAGTCTTCTAGTTCGAAGCACGGAAAAAGCACAATGAAGGTGTCCTTTCATATCACGTATGTATTACAGATCAACACACCGCAAGCTATCAAAAGTGAAAGAGCGTGTAGTCGGATATCATCGCTAACAAGTAACATGCAGGTATCGTTGAATTTTAGTTCATTTGTAGACTGAGTCCACGTAAAAGTAGTAATACGGTGTCAACCGCAAGAAGCTGGATAGGTGAAGCCATCTGGAGGAGCAAAAAAGAACTTAGCAAGTAGGAAACGTATTCTATTTTTCTGCTTATTCTCATTCACGATAGCTATATTGCATTGACCCCTCTGCGTATACCTGAATGCCTTGCACGCCAAAACACACCAATATAGCTAACTGAGACAAACAAGCGAACATGGCTGAAGCGTGCATCCTCGGGCACCTCTGCAGTGCTGCTTGAAACGGAGTCTATTTCGGAATCACTGTTCAGGAAAAGGTCGATCGATGCAAAAATAATTCGCGACATTGTGAATCGTGGGGATTCCAAGCTCCAGACTATAGTATTGAACCCGAGTTCGCACTTTGTACGGCGACGACAGCAATGCAGGTGACAAGGCATGACTGAATGTGTCCGCCTAGCAGACGAAATGTTTGCGGAGCAGCTGAGCCTGACGTCACTATTTTCTGTGGAGAAGTGGTCAGCTGTGGCGTGGTCTGGAGGTGATCGCGAGGTATCACCACTGCTGCTGCTTCCAGTGCTAAAAATGGCGGGATTGCCGGCCGTTTTTAAATAGTGTTGGATCCCAGTAATATAAATCAATAAAAGTGATAGTTGTTCATCCCTCAGTAGCGTTTTAGGTCACGAATCGCTGCTACGAGGTCTATAGCTACTCGCTGACGCAAAAATCTTGGCACGAGTAAATTTGATGTCAGTGCTCCTTCAATTCCTAAATTACTAAAGTGCTACTGCACATATTCACATTTTCGACATTCTCAATCGCTAACCTTTCACTCTTGCATAATTTTTTTGCTAGCCTTTAACATCTCTATAAAGCTTGAACAATGCTCTTTCACAATCCGACTATCAGAGGAACCTAAGTTGTAAAAAAAACCACAGGTGAGAGTTCATCAGATTTTTTTTTTAATTTGTCCAAAAACACAGAGCCCTATTTATACTCAAGTCTTGCTCCATCTGGCACCATTCTAACACACCACTTACTCTCCCTATTGTGTGCCGAAAATCCAACTTCCTACGATGGGAAACTAAATTCTTGGGGCATTTCGCACAGCGTGATGTTCCCCGTATCAAGTGTTCTCACTGCTCTTCTTCAATTTAGCTGCAGATTTACCTATGCATTTGACATTAAAGCATTGTCATGCTCGAAAATAGTTGAATATAAAGGATAATTTGATTTGCACCGAGTAAGATCGGCAGGTTTGACAGTACACACCTCGGCATTTAACAATTGGCCTACTGTTGGCATCAAAACATTTACTGTACCTTTGTGTAGGCCTTCTCTGGTGTGCAGTTATCTGGCTTATCTTGGCAGCAGGATGATGGAATCTTGCCTCCATAGTCAGCAGTGCTGTTGGCTCCACAGCAATGCAGCTGTAAAAACAGAGTGATACATTTTAAAATATTTATAGCAGACAGAACATTTTGGACCTGTACAGCGGAGGAAATACTAATTGATGATTAGTGCTAGTACTAGTAGTATAAAAAGGGGCCATGTAATCATTAGATAACCTCAATTTCTCAGCCATTGCCTTACAAACCAATCTGCAAAAATTTTTTTAATCAATGAAGAATGTAGAGTTACATGGGTTTTGTCGTGCACTTAGAGCACTTCCTCCTTTCTCTCGTACTGATGAGCACACATGAAGTTACGCGAGGAGGAATGGAAAAGTTAAATCAGCGTTTGCTCTATTGCTCTCTCCTATTGTGACTGCTGTGGGTGAGTGAGGCTCACTGCGTAATGTCTGCAGACAATGGAGCTAGGTGCCAGCATGTGGCGGCACAGTGCCAAGAAGCGCACCTCATTCTAATGCCGCTCTTGATTTATGCTGGATTTTAACCAATGTAAACATACTATCTGCTGTTCAACACCAAACAGACAGCACAATCGGCTCCACAGATAGCACAGGCCTCTATATGAAGAGAACGTGCTTGAGAAAAGGGTAACTTTGGCTCCTCATCCAAAATCACTCAGCTGCACATTGCAGCAAGATTTGGCCGACATTTTCATAGCAGCACCTACTGCCTGCAGGATGTGTTTTCTCACCAAGCCCAAGGGGTGGTTCATGACCCCTTCAACGATTCAAAGACTACAATAGCTATAGAGAGCCAAGACAATAAGAATGCATGCTAAGAAGGACAAATAATAAAATTTAGAGTAATGCATTAAAAATATTTCAGAGACAAACATAACAGACTTGTGCAACAGGCACCTTTAACAAAAAACAATAACAGCACTCAAACCCCTTTGATCTCTAGCCTGCAGATCCCAATGCCTGCAATCCATATCAACACCATCTTACCACAACAGATGAATAATCTTGAGGCAATCTGTATTACATTTGTTTGGACGCATGTTCGGCAATGCTAGGTATGAATTGAAACAACTGATTACCAACAGAGAAAGTAACAATAGGTCTGAAGATTAACATGCAAGAAATAAAAACAGATGTGTGCATAATGAATTATTTTTAGACTATATATTGCTCACTAATTCAATTCGACAAGAATCTTGTTAAATGTAACCAGCAAGAACTGGGAGAATATGTTCCACTAACAGAGTTTCTTATACCGAGCAGAATTCATAGGGGTACAGTAGTCAAATACACAACAAAATTACAGATGGCCCATGTAGCTATTGTGCTTAGCCAGTTTTGGTCCACAGCAACTTTAATATACATTTTTCTTGTAATAAGCTATATGTAACCAAGACCTTACTCACAAACAAGCTTTTAGTAGAGTATTATCAGATGCAGCTTTTTATGGAAGTGCATTCAGTGTATATAACACACACACACACACACACACACACACACACACACACACACACACACACACACACACACACACACACACACACACACACACACACACACACACACACACACACACACACACACACACACACACACACACACACACACACACACACACACACACACACACACACACACAAACAAAAACAGCAAGTAACAAGGTTTTTTTTTTGCTTTACAACATTGATGGTCAGCTATTCTATATACCTTTTCTTGCATTATCGCTATGTTCCCGGCACTTGCAAGTCACAAACGGCATGTGCATTATCAGCAAAACATAGCATTCTTGACAGGAAAGTGGGAAGCGCAGAGTTTTCCGAAAAGCAATCGCAAGCAAGCCTGACGATTGTTGTGGGATAAAAATAAGCCTTTTCTTTTTCACTCTGCCTTTTCATAGAGTGTAACACACCTGACGCCATGGAACAAGTTTTAGTCCCTGACAGGGAGAACAGCTCCAAAAGAAGTCTTCCAAGCCTGTAAGTGAAGCCTTCAAAACCTTCTACTTCCAGTGTTCTTGGCAACCGTAATCCAAAGCTGGCTATGAAAAAGCGTCCCAGTCAAGGCCGTGAGCTTTGACATACGGCAGGAGTAGTTCGCGATTGCACCCAAGCGATCTGCCACCGCCGCCTTTGCCGCCGTGTTGAATTTGCAGCTGGCTGTTTACATCATGCGGTTAGAGAACTAAAGCAGACGGTGTAGCCAAAGCCAAAAACGATCACACCGATTTTTTTTTCCTGTCTGTCTCGCGGCATGCTTCTATTAAAAAAAAAAAAAAGCGGGGACCATTCTGCTGAGTTTTGCCACATTTACTCTTTTTGAGGGGTGCCAAGAGTGCACGGGCCTTTCTCCCACAAACAAGCCGCGTTGTTTTGCTTGCGTGCACCGGTCAATCGCAAATTCTTATTATCTGGGGTGACTGGAAAAACCATTCATATAGTGCTGAATCCCAGCGTATTTTATATAATGTAGTCCATCCAAAACAACCTTAAAATTTGTATCATCGCAAAATTTGCATAAACCGTAATCGTATCATCGGGATTATACTGTATACTGAAAATGGGGGAGGACGCACTTGCTCGAGATTTTGCGACATTTATGATTTCTAGCCAGTTAGCGACAAGGTACGCTAATCAGGTAATAAAACTTTGCCCAAGACTAAAATTGGGTTGGGGTGCATGTCGCCCTATCATTCATTACATTTTCCCAATCATTGTTCATTAATTAAAACCACTGAAGTTAGAGAGAAATAAGGAGATATCTTTATACACCCTCATCTAATGTGTTAACTGCCATCACAGTATTATAAAGCTGCACGCCGAACTTTTATCCTGTATTTGAAATTCCGAAAAAGCAGATGACAGATGGCTATCTCTCATTCCCATGTTTCAACCTCTCCTAGAGCAATTTGTACCAATTACATAAAAAGGGGTCTAAAACATGCCGCCTCTCAAATTTTTCCCTAATGACTCTGCCTTTACTTGTTAGTCTTCATCACCATATTGTCACCATGCATATAAACATAATTGTGGAAGAAAAACACTATTTCAGAATGGCAATCCAGGTTTTAGTCATTTTAGAGATTGGCATTTATACATTTCTCAAAATTTTACACCGTATCCCTTGCACGGGAGCTGTTCTCCATGTTGCCACCTTGTAGACAGGTCTACTTCGGCGGAGCACATTTTCACTAGAAAAAGCAGCGAGCCATGGCAACGAAGTGCTCTTGAGCACGTCGACGCACTTGACACACCAGCACACTGCCAACATAAAATGATATAAAGTGGACAAAATGGTCACTTGAACAGGAGAGTTAAAACTAGCATAAGCGTGAACCTGCATATGAACATGTTCAGATGTTTGATAACATTGCAAGGAATGTGTAGCGACTTTAAAGGTGGATTAGGCGGGCAGCCGTATTAAACCTAATTCTAAGGTTAACGTGATCAGAGTTTATGCATGCACTCGGAGATGTGCACCAAAAAAGCATATCTGTGGGGGCTGCATTCTTTATGGTGAATCGCATTGTATTTCTCACATTTGTGTGGAAAGTTGTGAAAGCTTCGGTCCACCTCCATAGAACATGGATACGGTGCTCGGCTGCTGACCCAAAGGTAAAAAGTTCGATCCCGGCCGCAGCAGTCTCACTTCAATGCAGGCGAAATGGTAGAGGCTCATGTACTGTGCAATGTCGGTGCACGTTAAAAAACACCAGATCGTCGAAACTTCGGGAGCCCTCCACTACGGTGTCTCAATCGTCTCGTGGTTTTGAGATGTAACACCAGATATTTTTTTATCATTGTGAAAGCTTCATGACATCAAAATGACAATACCGAAGATTATAAGATGAAAAGTATGGCCCGCTGCTCACCGAGCTCGAGCCAAGCAGAGGTGGCAGAAGTGGACAGTCACAAGATGGACACATCGAGAATAGCTCCCCAGAAATAGCTTGTGTACGAGAGTAGCAAAAGCCCTTTTTTTCATATGGGTACATTAGCTGACATTTTTAGTTTGTACACAGTGTGTTTGTATTTTACCCCCACCAAAATAACATATTATAGAAGCTAGAGTAATAAAAGTAGATCCTATAATTTACTGATATCGCATGTATTAGAGTACACTCTAGATGTACTATCAACAGCAAAAGTTTGCGGGACGTTGGATCCATAACAAATGTGAATTTCTGCTATATAAGTGCTCAATGCTTGTAATCAAGCTGGTGACTGTATAGGTCGAAATGCAGAGAGCAGTATGGAACATTTATTTCGAAACTATATTGCCAGACAAAGCGGGAATTGAGCTTTATCAAATATTTCGCTTCCCGCTAACTTTTCCTATTGATAGTAGACACTTATATTTTATCAGGTATCATGAAACGGAAGATGTGTGTCACCATATAAATCTGATATAACTTGCAACACTATTGCATTGTGCCATCTGGCAGCACAAAGCACGTCTTAGCCTTTTTCACTGATTATATCACGGAACCACAAACCTCTAATGGCACACCCAAGTGTCGCCTATCGATCTGCCAAGGGGCCAGCAAGCACACAGTTATTTTGCATAGGCCCGACTGCAAAATGGTTTCATTGATATCACTATGGCCATTTACTGTATTTACATGATTATAGGTCAACCCATTATGGCTTGATCGAAATCCGAAGTAGGCGGGGGTCGACCTAGAACAGAAAACTAGATTCAGTAGTAAAATCTTTCTAAAAAACTGGGGGACTCTTAAGTTTCACCATTAAGAGTTGAACGCGATAGAAATATCCTGTCTGTAGTGCACACTTCAACCATTTAGTGTGTACTATTTAATGAATGATGTTCCTCGAATAGTTTAAGTTGTGGATTACTACAATGTAATAGATGAAGTTGAATGTGGCTTGAATCTGTGAAGCTTTTGCATATGGCTGCATACTGTGTAATGAGTAGCATGCTTTTAACGACAAGCAATAACGCGTGTGAAATCTATGGGGAATCTTTTAGAGCCCATAAACCACCCAGACGTCGAAATTAAATTGTGGTGAGGAAATTGTGCACGAGTGTACGACGAGCACA